GGGATTGGAGTAAGAGGATTTAGGACATGTTAACATGATGATGCAAAGGATGCATACAAACCCGACAGGCATGTCATTTTGAATTTTGGCAAGAGTTTTACAAATTGAGCTCTGTGCGTGTCAAGACTTCGGTTGCGAGAGTGCAGGCGACACTATAAACACCGCCATGGTTGGATGGTGCGGTGGTACATCGTCTTGGCCGGTCTGCCAAGTAGAGTCTGGATAGCTTGGATACATATCCCACTTGAGACAGTAGATTGCTGGTTCAAAACCGGCAAAACACAACCACATTTCTTGCGGCGCTGGTATGCATGGATGACGAAAGGCATGCTTGGATAACCAAAGGTTTCGAAATTCCCTTTGATGGGTACTTGCGGAGGAGGGTCGACTGTTTGTGTAAGCAAGCATACCTCATAGTGGTATTTGCGAATGAAATCCAGAGTATGAGTGTCTCTAACCTCAAAAGAGTCATCCCACATGTATACATAGCACCGGTCATGTGTCATAGCTCTATAGCTGCATACACATTAAATGTTAAAATAAAATAAAAATAAAAATGGGAAGAACTAGAGAGCGGGTTGGATTTGCATCAAACTGAGGGTGACATGAAATCAAATTGTGCCGTCGGTTTAGGCCTGCAAATACTGGACAAGAATTATGTACCCTGTCGAAATTGGCGCTGACAGGGGTGCAACTCCTGAAGCGAATATGCGCCCCATATAAATCTACTGAAAACTTGAAATCGTGGCACCAAGGAACAGTGCCTCTACAGTGCCTCTAGGTTCCAAAAGGTAAAACTTCAAACTGGGTCGTTGAAGGGATTAGCCCTGTAGGCGCAGTTGGGCTAGCTCGTAATAGGTTAGTATGTCTCTCCTCCTTACCCCGCTCTCCATGAAGTATGGTCCAATCGTCTTCTTCTAATAATCGCTTAGTAAAACACATTTTCAACGACATTTTTGGCTACCAAGCCTACACAGTCCTTGAATCTTAACACCACTATCAATTCATCCTCTATTCTAGCAAACAATGTTTCTCGAAAAGTCTGCTTCAGAAACTAAAGTTCGCAAGCATCTAACTCGCGATCAATGTATAGAAATAAGAGCATTAAGAAGACTTGGCTTGACACTTCAAAATATATTCCACAAACTTGGCTTCACAATAAGAAAAGTACAACTTGCGTGTGCTCGAGAGACTGAAAATCCTATGTCTCGCAAGGGACCCTTACCAAAATTAAGCGCGGAACAAGTTGATGACCTTGAAGCATTCGTCCGGGATTCACCTGAAAATCGACAGATGTGCTATTTGGAACTAGCCATGGGGCCCTTCAGCCACTGGGGATACAATGAGCATTAACTTTCAAATGCCCTCAATAAAATAAGTTACAGCAGGTGCATTGCTCAGAAGAAGCCTCCTTTAAGTGTGGTTAACATGCACGAAAGATGTATAGCGGCGATAAAGGGAAATGGAGGGCTCACAAAGTATTGGGATGGAGCAGAATTTTACAAAACATGAAGTACGCTTTCATTTTAGTTGCGAGCCACACTGAGGGCCTCGATGTATACTTTTGTAATACAGAGCAATTATTTTTGAAATAGATGTGTATTTTTAGATAACATCAATTGATTTTTTTAATTTTTAAATTTAAATGAGGACCATTGTACTTTTCCCTTGGTGTTGAAAACCGTCCCCATTTATTTGACTTTCACGGAATATTGTTGGATAGTGCCCCTGCTTGCATAACTAGTCGATTAACTAGACATGGGCATGCATCAAGACTATACCAATTAAGGCAATATTTACAGGGATCTAACCCCATTCATTTTGACAATTTTACTTTTGATACCCTTAAGAGACTGTACTGCTCTCTTCACCTACTGTGAGTTGGGAATGCCACTTCTTAAGAAGCCCTTTCGAGGAGCTTAGCCTCTCTCGATCCTCTCTGGAAATGTATTTCAATGCCAGACTGGGTACGGTGAATTTCGTGCTTATCATTAAAAGTTCTAACATGAAGATACCCTCATCACTTGTTCCTGCGAGGGAGACAAGTCAATCACCCACTGATTTTTTGCCCCTTCGTCCGAGAGAGGTTGGCCTCTGCCGGTCTCCGACGAAGTCTGGGATCTCTAAATTTTCTTCTCGGCACCTTCCGCGCTGCTAAGCGATTCGCCACAATACTGAAAAAGGCTAAGTCACAATCTGAAATCTGCCCTATCCGCAACGTGTGATGTAGTAGGGTGAGGAGTATGATGCATAGCGCTCACAATATCTCAGGGGGAAACTATTTTCTAAGGCCTCTCGGCATCCAGCTGTAAAAAATTTGATTCTTTTATAGCAGTCACCATGTCCCAGCTGAGATGGGGCAATAGCCCTCGCTTTCGCCAGGTAGGCAGTAAGAGTAAATAGATAAATGATACTAAGTGTGACGGAAACCGAGTTGGTGATGAATAAATCGATTTAATAAACTATATGAGGAGAGAAACTAATCGTAGCTACTACTAACAGGTATTTATAAGAGTTAATCCTCCTCGTGAATCTACAGACTAGTGACTTGTCCTCAGGCACAATACTTCTTACCCAGCCACGTATTTCCACGTGTCACTTGGTTGTAATAACGCTTCAGCCTCCTGACTAGTAGTGTCGTTTCGTTCAGCTTCATATCCCCCTCATACAGCCTCATAGTAAGAATTCTTAGTAACAGGCTTAGGTATCCACCTAAGCTCAAACAACGGTCAAACCGTAACACTAAGTTCACCATGCACGCTCGTAAACCTTAAAACTACCGCGTATATCTCGCTCTCCTCGAAGTAATCCCTGAAAGACCGCCTTCCGCTTTTCAGTCGCCTATTCCCCTTGATACTGATCAAGGTGATCCACTGAGTTTTCTCTGCCACAAGATTTTGAAGTTGTGATAGCAGTGGTGAAATCTTTAATTTAGCGAGATATTTTCTCATCGAAAGAAAACAATCACATGCAGTGATTAACCCACCTCTCGGGGTTACGTGGTGCCTTTGTACACTGTCCGGACCGTTCCCCCAACTACATTCTGGGTAGCTGAGGCCCCCACCCCATTTGAAACAGCAGAAAGCTATTTCGCCTTATGTGAGACCCACACACCGCATTCCCTCGCGGTCATACCGGGATTTTTAAGTAGCGAAAGCACCTATTAACGGTCAAGGCAAACAGTCACTGCACGCAAGCATGACCTTGAAATAATTAATAATTTTCTATAGGAAAGAAATCTACAACTGGATTGTGCCAACACGAAGTGTACCCTGACAATCACCTTACATAAGTACAACTAATGGTTCTTGCTCAGTGTATAGGGCTGTGCATTTTGCCAAACACTGATTTTTTTTAATTCATTTTATTGTCCTGTCTGAGTCTATGACTATGTAGGACATGCAGGTCCTCTCTGCCTACAGGCCAAGGATACCTATACCAGCAGTATATCCCCTCCTATGCCTCCTATACAACTCCCCTAAAACAGTACCACCCCTCACAAGTCCTCATTCGATCATACACTAAGAGGAGCCCTTGGCCCTTTATTATCTCCCCTCTCCAGCCAACGAAACGATGGCCATTTGCAGGTATATGGCAGCCGGGAAAAATCGCAAAAAACCACTTGGTGCGGAGCTCTCCTAATACCGACATTAGGACTAAATCCGAAGACATGGTGATCCTTCTGAAGCGTTCGAAGAGGCCGGCCAGCTGGGCGCTCCAGACTTGTCTATACCTCGGAGAATTCACACTCTGCCTTTCTAGCCTCCTTCCAACTCCATCCCGAAGGTCGTGCTGAAATGTCAGAAATGTCAGAAAAGTCTTGACAGAGCGTGATTGATGTGTGACAGCTTAGCCTAACTTCTTTTGTACCGTCCAGGGCGCTGGGGAGTGCCGTTGACTCATCTACAAAAGAAGCCCTTCTGGCTAATTAGCCGAAATCTCGGTCTTGGCGCCCACAAAAAATCCAAAGTTGAAAACTCCTCGAAAATGTTAGTCCAAGCATGCTCTTTAGAGACCTATTCCCCCCTCTCGCTCCACATCTCAGCCGCCTGTTCTTCCTCAAGTTATTTGTCCCATTAGAGCAACAGTCCCCCATAAGCCATGACCCAGGCTTTGTATTTTTCGACTTGATTTCCTCCTTGCGGATATAAATAGCGTCGTAAATCTGTAGTGAGAGATGGCTGGAGATTAATGGGGCAAGCTCCTGTACGCAATTGGAGAAACTTCTTTATTGTTCGTTGAGGCGAGATGATGCGTGGTTAGAGAGAGGTCTAGGACTCAGATGATAATGATGAGAGAGGCATTGCCGAAAAGTTGTCAAATGGAGATGTGTATGAAGTTGCTTTCGACTTCGATTCGGATGCGATTCTTCTTGGCTATCCCAGATATGCAGAGCATACTGAGCGATTACACCGGCACCACTGGAAGGTGAAGAATTCGTCTTTGCCGGCGCCAAACACTGATTAGATGCAACGCTGGGCACGCAGGTCAGCCTAGACAATCAATTACGGGTAATCCCGTGACAGCAGCCGCGGACAACCATTTGTTTCTCGCGTTTTTCCCCTCAGTGGGAATTCTCGGAACAGGTTGCATACCGTGTGGGTTAACTTCGTGTGGTATCTGCAGATGAAATCTAAGTTTGAGTGTTACAAAGATCAAACTGAGTAATTCTACGTTTATTATATATCTTCCAAAAAATTATGCCAGGGCCTCTCGGCGCCGAATCAGGAAAGTTGGAAATTTCAATTCATTCAGCCTGCTTGTTAAACGCCATTCCGAAATGGGGACTTTATTACTCATCAACATGATTGGTCATCAATGTTGAGGTGATACATCATTATTTATTAGGCTTTTGGCCAAAATTCATATTTTTTGAATTACCCATCTCTAATGTTAAGAAGAGAAATTGCGGGATCAGATATGTTTCTTGACCTTGATATCTGCAATTTCCTCTATCATGATCTTGGTAAATGTAGAGTGCTGTATACAAATAGAGCCACCTAGTTCACATTTTCCATCAGCTTCGTAGCATGAGCCCCCATTTTCTGAAATGGCCATGAGAAATCGGGATACAATATAGGCCTGAGATCGAATCTATTGTCGTCGCATCCATAGTTCTCTGAGTGTAGTGCAGGAGTCAAGACAACCTGTTTATGGCGATTAACTGAATAGTAGTAGAAGAAGCGCCTCGTCTTCTCTGAAATCTCCATAGGAGTATACTTATTGCGCCATATGTGCAGTAGCTTGTTATACATGGCCCATGGCCCGCATTTTGCTACCTTACGCAGACGACCCATTACACCCAGCTCAGCATAGGTAAAACCCATCTGGTCCTCATCAGACTGAACGTAGGCTTCGGTTATAGGCTCAAGTTCAGCGGTCGGTGTTGCCTCAATGACCCGATCAAGAATGGGCATATTAAACTGAGCCCGTGCCCATTTGACAAACAAAACTAAGTCAGTCTTATCAATTCCTCCGATAGGATTTATGTCTGCACTGCTGTTATCATACTTTGTGTAGTATCCACGCAGTTGTTCCGAGAGATTTCCAGAGCCTAATACTAGGAGCGAGCCGCCACCTTGACGCTTTCTGACTAAAGGTAGAAGTTGTGCAAAGAGATAGGCAATAACCATACGAAGTCTAGCTTGAATATTTTGAAGTGCAAGGTTTTCTGTAGACGAACCTCCGTGTACCGCGAATTTAGGTGTGAAACTTGTTACAGCTATAAACAGAATTGTAAGCGCAGTAACAACTGCGTCCATATTTATATCTAAATGGTACGACCCCATAGCATCAGCAAGTTCTTTTGCAATCTGACGAGTTCCAGCACTTGAATTGCTGGTTCCGATATAGCAAGTATGAAATAACCGGCGAGAAATATCCTTCACGTGACTTGGTCGCCATTGTGAGTCTTCCGGCTCTCCGACAATTCTTAATAAATCTCTGATTACCTGTTTGTTATTAGCCTCCACAGCCTTCATTACCATATTACACATGGAGAATGTAATGAGCGCCGTAGAGCATGAGTCAAGGCCACCTGATAATGGAAGGAAGTAACCAGCAATTCCGGTTGAAGTGCCTCCTCCACATCTTCGTAGATAGTCCCATAAGAAGGCACCAGCTCCAAGTGAAATTTCTTCTCCTGGTGTGTGATAGTTGATTTTTATTTCCTCTGACAAAGTGTTCTTTGATTGAATATTTTCGTCATCCATGCCCAGGGAAATAGGAGCCTCGATTTGTTGGTATGGCTCCTCATGGCTCCCTTGTAAGCTTCGACTAATTGATGTCCGAGAGCTTCTCACGTCTTCCAGGTCCAATGTTGCAACCACTACCTCCACATCTTCTAATGAAAACTGTTTTCCCATCGCTACAGCTCTACCGTTAATAAATATACCAGATGAACCATCAAAAAATAATCTACCGTCACCATCACATCCTCTCTATTGTTTGGTATTAGCCTGTAGGCATATTTAGGTAAGAATAAAAATACCTGGTTTGAATACAAATATATTCCGCCGGATCGCGTACAATGAATGATGAGATCAATGCGTTGTTTAAGCTTTCTCAGTTCATGGTGCTTTGTTATAGTAAGCCAGGGTGCGTGGAGCCTTTTCAACAGAAAGACTTACGCTTCCGCTCGAGTTGGTAAATATCTCAACGCCACATAAGCCCATGTGTATACCAGGGTTGTTTGGAGTGAAAAGTTCCTCGCAAGTCTCTGCGCCAACACATGTATCAAGGGTGCGAAGGACAACATCACCGATAGGAACAACAGTTTGCCCAGTAACGTCCCTCATGGTGCAATCAAGGTAGTAGTCTTCAGAGTATCTTTGTTTAAACCATGGAGTAAACCAGCGGCCCTCACGATAATTCCCATCGTCGGCAAGCCACATTTTTGGCTTTATATAGAGAATCTTTCTGTTGTAGGCCAAGATCCTACAATTGTAACGCACATTGCGGTGTCGGACGGGCGCTCCCAAATCAAGTAAGATATCTTGACATTCATCGTGATCAATTATCTTGGCTAGCATCTCCCAGGAATGTAAATATGTATCACCTTCCAAAAAATGGTCTTGACATGAGTCTAAATACCTTCAAGTTAGCCCGCTTCATTAAAATTTATATCAATTATGAGTTCATGAGTTAATCGGAACGGATTATCGCATAAAATTAATCTACAAAAAATAAATAGTAGCTTACAGCCAGTAATTTCGAGCTCTGGACCAACTCGCAAAGTTGCTCCAGCTTTTTTGGATTGCTTAATGGACTCAATTATCCTATCAGAATTACCCTCAAAGTCTAGTACCCATTGATTCAAAGAACAAGTTGCGAGAGTAACGAGAGGCGCCATCTTGTCCGCAGGATTAAACTTATCAAAACATATGCGCGATGTTTTTGGAGAAGGCGAAATGAAGGCTGTCGTAAAGACCCTACAAAGTTATCATCCGGGCGATGGCGGGGGCTAAGGATAACAGAATTCCGAACAATGAGGAAAAGCCTAGTCGATCGGATCCCAGGAGATAGATGAAAGTCTATTGTAAGTGGGGTGACCGGAGTTTGACCCCTTGTAAAAGGTTAAGAACATAGTAAAATAGCTCGTCTGCGAGTGTTAGGCATTTTAAAAAAAGGTTATGATTTTCCCCTCGTACTTTTTGTACTCTTTATCACAACAAATAGCCCTAAGCTGATCACTCAGGATATAGTAAGTTTAGTAGAGAACGCAAACTGTGACTCGAATAAAATTGTGTGCTATTTGTGATAGATTCATGTCTGTCTCGTGTCCTTTATCGCTGAACTAATTGGTTAGTCAAGAAGGCATTTCAACTGGAATTAATTCCAGTGGAATTGCCGAGACTGAGGTTTAAGTTGTAGATGCTCTAGATGCCACGGGAAGCTTGGAGATTGTACTCATGACAGTGAACAAACTACCGGTCAAGGTGGCCTTGCTAACAAGACCGCTATCCGTGAGCTCGATAGCGGGACGTGAGGCTTTTCAAGCTTTAGCCAGATCATTAGTGACCAGTAATCTATTACATAATCCGGTGCAATTCTACTTGATACCCATTCGTATTGTAATACCGGAGAATAATGGAGACAGTAAGCTGCTGTTATTATTAATTCATTTTATTGTCCTGTCTGAGTCTATGACTATGTAGGACATGCAGGGCCTCTCTGCCTACAGGCCAAGGATACCTATACCAGTAGTATATCCCCTCCTATGCCTCCCATACAGCTCCCCTCAAACAGTACCACCCCTCACAAGTCCTCATTCGATCATACACTAAGAGGAGCCCTTTGCCCTTCATTATCTCCCCTCTCCAGCCAACGAAACGATGGCCATTTGCGGGTGTATGGCAGCCGGGAAAATTCGCAAAAACCACTGGGTGCGGGGCTCTTCTAATACCGACATTAGGAATAAATCCGAAGACATATTGCCCCTTCTGAAGCGTTCGAAGAGGCCGGCCAGCTGGGCGCTGCAGACTTGTGTGTACCTCGGGAAATTCACCCTCTGCCTTTCTAGCCTCCTTCCAACTCCTTCCCGAAGGTCGTGCTGAAATGTCAGAAAAGTCTTGACAGAGCGTGATTGCTGTATAGTAGCTTAGCCTAACTTCTTTTGTACCGTCCAGGGCGCTGGGGAGTGCCGTTGACTCATCGACAAAAGAAGCCCTCCTGGCTAATTAGCCGAAATCTTGGTCTTGGCGCCCACAAAAAATCCAAAGTTGGAAACTCCTCGAAAATGTCAGTCCCAACACAGTCTTCAGAGTCTTCTTTCTCCTCTCGCTCCACATCTCAGCTGCCTGTTCTTCCTCAAGATGTATAACCCCATTAGAGCAGCAGTCCCCCATAAACCAAGACCCCAACTTTGTATTTTTCGACTTGATTTCCTCCTTGCGGGTATAAATAGCGTCGTAAATATGTAGAGAGTGATGGCCGGTAATGAATGAGGCAAGCTCCTGTTTGCAGTTAGGGTGACGCCTCTATCGGTCGGCGAGGCGAGTTGATATGTGCTTAGATCGGGGTTGAGGACTCAGAAGATAATGATGAGTGCTGCATGGTTGAGAAGTCGTCAAATGGAGATATACATGTGTTTGCTTTCGACTTCGATTCGGATGCGATTCTTCTTGGCTATCCCAGATATGCAGAGCATACTGAGCGATTACACCGGCACCACTGGAAGGTGAAGAATTCGTCTTTACCGGCAGTAAGCTGCTGTTATTGACTTCGAATGAGCTTCAAATCAAATTATGCTCGAGAGCTGCTGTTTTTTTAGGCCCTTTGCTCAAAAAAAATCTACGTCAACTATAGGCAGATGATCGGTGGGGCCTGCGGGGGTCTCTGCCCACAGCACCAGCTCATTTGGGCTAGATAACCAATCCTTGTTCCTAAAGAAGAGATAGTAGAAGATGCACACAAGCATGAGTAGACAAAATAAGCTTTATCTTTCTGGTCCGATGGATCTAGAGCATAGAGCGGCAAATTTGCTGCCGTAGTAGCTTGGAAAACCAAGAATGGATGGCAGCGGTCACGCTAGTTTGGATTGGGTACCAAAAAAGAGGGTTTTGATGGCGAATTATATGCGTTCGATCAATCACTTTGTTTGGCACTTCAAGGGGGAGCCCGAGGGTTCGAGCAGGAACAAAAACAGTAAAGTCCCTTTTGGAAAATTTTAGCACAGTGCATGTCTGACATGTTTCTAAAGCCGCAATTTCTCGCATCAGGCATCTTGTTTTTTTTCTGATTTTAGGTCCTAAGCTATGCTCTATATCTCTTTGGAGTCAAGGATCGGTGTATTCGGCCGAGATCATGCTTCCCACATGCCCAACTTGGTCTCACCGCGTGAACCATACTCAACCAGTAGCTAGTTAAAAAGAGAGAAAATAAATGCTCCCACAAAATTCCATAACCAAAACTCCAAACCCAATAATCCTATTTGTGGTTGGAAAACAACACTCCTCGTCTCGTTTACCTACCTGTCCTGCTTCATGCTATGATCTAGTTAATGTTGTCTCCGTTGAGAGCTGGAGACGGACTCGCAGTTGGGCTCCCGAAGCAGCCGGTTTCCCGCGCAAATATAATAAAGCCCTCGAGGCACTTAGGCCCGAGAAGCTTGTGGAAAAATTCGTGATGTCACACTGTACCTCGAAGTCGGCGCGTCTGGCGTGCAGTCGATAGTGAAGCTCGCGTGTCTTGCGTTGTCGCATGAGAAGACCAAGATTTCGATACACAGGTGGACATGCTTCTTCCCACCATTCGTCGATAAGCGCTTGTCGTTTCTAGTTCATGAGCCGACGAACGTACGCCAACGTGATGGATCTAGGCTTGGCAGTTATCGAAGGCCGGAGCGTGCAACTCTATCGGCCTCTTCATTTGTCTGTATCCCGGAGTAGGCCGGTATCCACTTCACTGAGACTCGAGCCTTTTTCGATAGCGCCCTAATTTGGCGTACGTCGTCGAGGCTTTTTGTTGACGTTCCTGTCGACAGTGCCTTAACTGTAGACTGACTGTCCGTCAGTACGTTGATCCGCTGCCTGCCGTACCTTCCCCCGTTCTCCCTCTCCCACAATCCTAGCGCAGCTTCTAGGGCCTTTCTCGCCCCTACAATTTCCGCATCAAGCACTTCACCACCATGCTTGATGCCACATCCTATTACGACCGACCTCAGGTTGACACTAGAAGACTCCCTCGAAATATAAAAGAGTAATTGCTTTTTACTTGGACCTAAAGCTACGCACGATAACTAAAAGAAAAGACAAGGAGAGAAAGAGGTCTGCAGCCTCGCTGTGCTGAAAACTCCACCAGCTCGCTTCCGGGACCAACGCTTACTCAACCAGACTCCACATCACGTGATACCATAAACCTATCATCTGTAAACTCAAGCCGTAACATTACCCCCCCCTTTAAAAAACTGCGTCCGCGCAGTTCGGGTCATTGGTCTATTGTCCTCCAAGTTGCTGTAGTTGTCAATTCCAGCATTGTAAGCTTCTATCCATTTCGGCAGGGCCCTTGGAGGTCCTTTAGCTTGTGGGTGACTAGTATGGAATTCTTTGATCTTGTGTGGGCCAGTCATTGCATCCGAGCAGGGGTACCATTCCAGATCCTCGTCCGCACCTTGCCACTGAATCCTGTATTCCAGTTTGTTGTTCTGCACCCGTGACCCCAAAATGCTAGTAATTGTTGGAAATTCAGACTCTATGTGTCTGAAGTTTCCCATGATTGGAACAACTAAGATTCTCACACATGACTCACGACCTAGATGATTGATATCTCCCTTACTGAGCATGTTTGATGCTTGAGACTCGACTAGTGCATGGTATGGTCTGATACACGTGTAAGCTTTCATCCACCGACCCTGAACCCATACTCATATTGTATACTGTCGTGCGTTTCATTGTCATTGTTAGAGTATGGAACGAGTAATGGATGGTATCTAGTCTGGATTTGGTCTATCAAGATTACATGTATATAAGCTGTCTAAGAATCACTAAGACAGAGAATCTAATAAATTCAATTTATTCAAACCATCTTTTATTTCTCTACAGTTTATCACATATTCTCCCGATTCATATCATTATTATTCTATTCATAAAATCGCGCCCATATTCTTTGAGCCGCCTTACTCATCGAACCCATACCGGTTTTCCAACAGTAATCTCCCACTCGTCCTGGTTCGCTATTATTTGCATAGGCGCCTGTGCAGGGCGCAATTGACCAGGTAGAGGGTTACTAATGTATTTTCGTAGGGAATGAGAATGAAACACGGGATGAATTTTCCAATGAACTGGCAAATCGACTCTCCAGCTCTCTCCCTCTTTCGCCAGAACTTTGACTGGGCCGTACCACTTGTCGGAGAGTTTTCTTGAAGGACGATCCAGCTTCCAGTTCCTAGTGTCAATGACTATTAGGTCCCCCACTGCCCAATCTACCTCGCGGCGGGTACGATTGGCCAGTCTCTTCATCTTATCTTGTTGCGACTGTAAGGATAACTGAGCGAAGGCTATTGCTTTCTCCTGGCGGCTTGCGACATCCAAGGCGTTCTGACGACTGAGCTGTTCGGTAGCTGATCTGGGAGGTTCAGGGTTGTGAAGGTCGAACGAGGTTCTTGGTTCGTACCCATTCAGCACCCGGAAGGGGCTGATATTTCCGAGCGACTCGTGGGGCAAGATCAGCTGTGCTATATCCATAAGTGGCAATAGGGAGCTCCAATTATCTTGATAGTACGTGCAAAAAGGGCGTAGTCTCTGCTTAACGTACTGATTCATGACCTCGGTTTGTCCGTCAACATTAGGGTTATAGGCCGTAGTGAGTTTGACTTTAGTGCCTAAGATCCGGCAGTATTCTTTCCAGAAAGTT